AAAGAGAGAGCTTGCCTCCGGAAATTATCCAATTCCTGCAAAATCGCAGGCAGCATGCCTCCTCCTGCGCACGGCCGACGCGCGAATAGCAGACGCCTCCCCCCCCCCCGCCACCCGCGGGCAAGTCGAGCGCTGCACCCCAGCCCGCCTTTCCGCCCCCCCCCCCCACCGCACGCCCGCGGGCTGCGGCGAAAATAACGGAGCGGCGAACGCCACCCGCGGCCGGAGTGGTCCCCGCGCGGTATTTTCCTTTGAACGCGGCCCGGGGATCGCCCCGGCGTCGGCTCCTTCCGCTCCCCTTCCCATCCCCGCCCGCCCTCCCCTCCCCCCCGGTCGCCTCCGTCTCCTCGATGGGCGCGGCCGCCGCAAGTCGGCGCTTTCGCCGCGGCCGGCGCCGTCAAGATAAGCTGTTTGTCAGCGGCCCAATCCCACTTCTTGGCCTGTTTAATTAAGGAGTAAACATGACTCTGAACTGCGTCGGTGCGGCGCATTTGCCCACTGCCCGCGGCGCCGCGCCCGCCCGCCCTCGCGCGCCGCCACCGCCGCGCCCGCCCGCCGCGCCCGCCGAGCGGGCCGGGATTAGCAGCCGTTTCTGTCTCACCTCCGCGCGTAGTGGCCGTATGCCGCCCCCGCGCACCGGCCGCAGCGCCGTTCGTTAGGCCGCTTTGATGACCCTCGATCCCGCGCGCTCGTTTGTTGTTGAGCGCTCTTTACACAAACATTAACACCCAAGTTGGTAGACGAGGAGCGGCGACGAGGCCGTAGCGCGGCGCCCGCACGTGCCCCGCCTCCCGCCCGGCTCGCTCCTTGCTCGCGCCTGGCCAGCCCACCGCGCCCGCCCGCACACCCCGCCACCGGCTAGCTAACGGCGACGAGGGTGGTGGCGCAGCGGCGGACAGCCTTCTTCAGAGACTGTCTCCAGAGCAGAAAGGCACAACCTGATGAAGCCTGAGAGCCGCAGCGACGCAATGCGATTTCTCATATTGTATTGATTTGTCACAATCGCAACGGAAATGTATAACAAATGATATGCGAATCTTCATTTTTTTTATTTAAGGGCCACTTCGACCATCCTTAGTTCAAACCCCGCTTAAGTTTATCCACCGATTAAGTATGAAATCCGCATCGACCTTCCTTATTCGGCCAGTGTTAGTTTAATCGTAATCGGAGATTGTTCTCGCTATTATTTATCTAACCGTCTGTTACCAATACACACGTTCTCTATGCACATTGAAGCGTTATTACAATTCTCTTTAAACTTTTTTTTCCATTTGTAGTAATATTAATCCTAATTCCTTTTTTAAAATTTCCATTTTCAATTTGTGTTCTTCTTCCTATCTCTTCATGCTCTCCTTTAATTCTTCCAGTATTCATATTTCTGCATATTTTTAGTGGAGAGTTTCATTGTTTTCCTTTGCTTGTCAAATTAAATGAAATATTTTGGTTTAGAGAAGATGGCTTTCACGAGTCCCATTGTGTTTCAGTTACTTTTCTTCTTCATTCACAATGAACAATCTATTTTGCCCCTGGTGCAGATCTAGATTCATTGGTGACACTTATCTTCATTACAGACAATGATGGAACAGCACTGGCAGTTTCAGCACCTATATCTTTTCTCTATTCAACATTGTGTGGAAATTCAATGATAATAATTCAATGATTCAATCAGTTTCACATTTGGATATACCTTAATTCTGAGTAATATCATGACATTTACTTTGTTCTCTAAAGGATCTAACTTTACTGTTGTATCGGTACTTCCTAAATTAAAATGACGAAAAATAATATTAAAACAAATTCGAGATTGCCAAATACGAGATCGAAAAAAAGAGATAAGTTAACACTTCGTGCTTCCTTAGACAATGAAGCCAGATCATTGCCACCTCGATAGCAAGTACGGCCATACTGTGGCATTTAATCATGATCAGTTTAGCCAACCTAACCTCCCTGTATATGAGGAAACATTCAGTGACTCATCGTATCTCATGGACCATGGTACTCCGGTCTCCCCTACTCGTTTTTCTTTTGTAAGCGTGAGAAATGATTTTTTTTTTGTATTTTGTATATTTTAATCTTATAACTGAGATTACAGGACATTTTTATCAAAATCTGCCTCAAAGGATTATTTGTTATAAGTCTGAGTGATAAAGTAACCCACATCCCTGTTTATAAACAAGGGAGGTCTGTAGCTTTTAAAATAAATTGAAAGGTAAGTAACGTATTTATAAGTAGCTGGTAGTAGTACATTAATGACAAAATTAATAAAACTTTAAATATTTTTTTTATAGTTGTAAAATATTTTGGTACGTTGATAACTTCCAGAAACACATTTAGAAAGACGAAAAAAACAAAAAAAAAAGATTTTAAAACCTTAGACATTTTTGATTAAGAGCGGATTAAATTGCTATACTCATATAATATTTTAATTTTAAAATCTTAGTTTACCCTTTTTTGTTTACCAGAAGAATTGAAGTACTCGGGAGTAAAAACTGATAACACACAATCCTATATTTTTGACCCTTCATTTTCGAAGTGAGAGTTGTTATTATTTACTGCAGTGATATGTACTTTGTTAATGAGCAAAAAACACATTGTGTCTCTAACTGTTACTTGTGAACTTGTGAACGAATACTTGTGAACTTTTTGGACCAGAAGGAAGGTCTAGTTGAAAATATTTGTCTACATTCGCAAAAAGTGAAAGCCCTCATTTTGTGTATTATCGTTATTTCGCCAGAGATCTTGAATTATAATGGTATTTTTTCGCCAGAGATCTTGAAGTATAATGGTAGAGATTTGTATCATATTTCCTTGAGATCAAGATTTAATATCAGATTTCTTAATAGTAGAAAAGTTGACTAGCAACTGACCTGATTGTTCTCCGGGAAACTGTTTTGATTGTGTGCGTGCCACAAACATCGCCTGATCTGCCCAGAGAGCACGTAGCTGTTGTTTGTCGCACGCAACTGCTGACTGCTGCAGATTGTGCAACGTTGCAGCAGTGGCGCGCAGCCCAGTCACGTTAGGCACGAACAGAAGGGCGCTGGCACTCTCCACGATCGGGACGTGCTGCGGGCGCACTGCAGCGGTCAACATCAAGCTGCAAGCCATTGATATGCTCTGACCTGTAAACAATTTCAGTCGTGTGTGTGCTTTGAAACCTTTTTATATCCATTTGAATTCCTAATTTTATTTTTCTTATATTTCGTCTTTTGTTTACCCATTTTCAGTACACTTGGTATCATGATAAATTTGAGTTGAAAACATTTCTTTTGTAACGTATATTTTCTTTGCCCTTTAATTTTTTTGTATTAATAATCAATCTGAGTAATTTAAAATTGCCATCGGGCCTGTGAAAGAGAAATCGAAGATTCGCGAAAATCGTGGTTTTGAAATATTTAAGAAGTCAACACGAACAGTAAGAGGATCCTAAACCACTACTGGAGATAGAATTCATTGTCCACATTAACGTGTTGAAATTGTTTGCCGTACAAAAATGTATGCATTAGATACGTGTGACTCGTTTGACACAAAGCTCCTGATAATGCCAAGTTTTGAAACACTGGCCAGGAGTTCAAAGCGTTCGATTCCCCACGGCGGCAGATTTTCAACACTAGCTAGCGAGATAGGTCTCTTGATCCTTACAGAATAACCACAAGACTTCAATTATTCGACTGTTAAGCACTGGAAAGACCATTATGCCTTTTGAAGTGTGTAAATGGACATTTCACTCCAAGAAAATTAACAGCCCCAAAATTACATTCTTTATCAGTATATGATAAAATTCAGCATTTTTCGTGTTTTTAATATTTAATGGAATTGTTTTAAGTACGTAAATAGTAAATATAGTCCTCTAGACGGATTGCTAAAATAATCTTCTAAAATAAATCTTCTGTTGAACCACTTGATCAATTTCATAAAAAAAATGATGAATTTTTGACGATTAATGAATTGAACGATTGTTTTGTTTCCAAGCTCGTGAACAACTGTGAGTATCCATTTGAGCTTAGAGCTTGTCTCGGCAGCGGCGGTGCAGCGCTGCAGAAAGATACCTCGTGGGGAAAACTCTGCTAGCCGATGTTTAGGTCGGCGCCGGACTTCACAATTCAGTGCTGCACAGGCGTGTAATAATGGCTTTACCGCCACAACACCTTCCCGTCCAGAACGTGAGATGTGTATGTGTATATGTGTATGTGTATATGTGTATGTGTATATGTGTATGTGTATATGTGTATGTGTATGTGTATGTGTATGTGTGTGTGTGTGTGTGTGTGTGTGTGTGTGTGTGTGTGAGATGAAAGGAGGGACGAAGAAGAGGAAAAAAAATCCCGTGCGGTACGTGCCTCGTTACTTAATCAACGGTTCCGGCATGCACCTGGTATTGATCATATCGACCAATCACTCGATTGATTAGTTGATTGATGAATGTTTCTGGACGCGTCAACAATTAACGTCATTTGTCCTGTAAGTGTATTGTGTATTTCTATCGAAGGTAATCGCGATGGACTTCTCCCACTTGATGGCAAGACCTGGCGCCGAACTAGTCGCCATCTTGCGGGGATTTCCCCAGTAAAGTATCTTCCACCAGAGGGGCACCGCTCCAACCGACACAAGCTCTAAGATCCCGATGTATGTGGTATGCCGATGCCTGTGTGATAGTGTAATACCTGGAAGTATTGGATGAGGATAGGACAAGGAATAGCAAGAAAATATCGCGCGCAGAGCGTGGCCCGTTTCTTAGGATACTGCTCCAGCATTCGCTTGGTGTTAATAGGAGAAACCACAAAAATTACCCATCAGAACATCCGGTCGCCAGAATTCTCCTCCAGATAGTAGGTGAATTCGACCTAGCTATCTAGCTAGTGTCGGACATCCTGTGCATATCCTGCCACTGTCGACTACTACTCGAACTCTAGAACCTCCCGGACAGAGGAACATCAATTGACGCCCTGAGCCACCTAGGCCTGTGTATTGATCAGAGAAATCACAAATCAGACAGCCGGCCACTAGAATTCTCCCGCAGACAACGGACGAATTCTACTACCTAATTCGAATTAGCTTTCTAGCCAGTGTCAAAATCCACCACCAGCGGGCCAGGAACCTAGCACCTCCGAACAGACACTGCATTGTCAAACACTGCAAGACAGCACCCACTGTAACAAGCGTCACAGGCACTACAGATAGTTCCGGAAGTTGTGCTAAACTTAATGAAAGTCATTTGAACCTAAACAGATGGATATTTGTGAATCAGAATATTCTCTTTTTCAAAGATATTTAATCCCACTATCTGGATTTGGCTACTTTGAGCTTCCCTACTAATACAGAACCAAAAGAGCCTCATTTCAGTCGGGTTTTTCGTTGTTTCCTTGATCCTTCGAACATATGCTACGATGGCCCCTTGATTTGCTTCTGAACATTAATATATCAATATCTGTGCACGTCTTCTAGAGTTCAGTGGGAAATATAGTTATGCAAATGATCGTTTTCGATGTTGTGGCAGAAACATATTCCTTCACGAAGGACATGAAGGATAAGAACCCAAATTTATAGTTGATTTGCCTTTGAAAATATATTTTATTACATCGGAGCGAAGGTTTTATTAACAATTCTTTCCAAAAAGGTTAACTTATTTTTGTAATTAGAACTTAACTTGTACATGGTTTAGGCGAAGGATCCCAAAATTAAGAAACCATGCCCAGAATACACTTCTCCCCGTATAATGACCCACACAGACGTAAAATATAAATTAAAAAAATAAAATAAAACTCGCCGTGAATGTGACTAATAAAAAAAGGCACCACTAGAAAAGTATTTAATGTTGGAAACTCAGGCGTATAAAGCATATTTACATTCTTAATTTAGAAAACTGCCATTTGACGTAATTCTGAAAACTGCACAACTATTAACTTGAATTGAAATATTTAGAGCCATAAATCATAGAAAAACTGGTTTCAGGTGTAATCAAAAATAACAATATACCTGACAGAAAAGTTGCCAAGAGGGCAAAAACCTGAACTTTGAGAGTCATGCGAAAGATAAACGATCGTGCTACATCATTTCAGTAATGATCGCGTGCACGTGGACCGGGTGCCTACCGAGGTGAGGGACGGGTGACGCCTGACGATGGAACTTCCTACAAGTGAAATAGCAGACTGTTCATCAATTTCCTTTGAAATCTAAACTCAGGTGAGCAGTATCTAATTTACGGGGCAGGGGTGCAAAGTGTTTCAATTAACGTAGCTTCTTTCATGACGATCGACGGAATTTTCTTCCTAACGAACTCCTTCGAAAGACAACAAGGTGACGTCTCGACAATCGGCGCATATTTGGTTGAGCGGAATAGAGTTGACCTACAATTACACACGCACACAAAAAAAAAATTGTCAGACCCAAAGGCTTGAATCAAGTTGCTCTGTGTATGTCGACGCGCTGAATCCGAATCTGAAGCCAGAATTCCTCCATCACCCTCCAGCTTTGATAAATCGTGAAAATTTTAGTGTGTTTACGGGGATTGTTGTTAGACCCGAATACTTGACATATGTTTCTCTATGTATGTAGATGTGCTAAATTCGAACATGAAGCCATAATTCCATTTTTTTAATCGCGAAAAACCTTTATGAAATTGTACATTTCGTTTCATTTTTCGCGATTTATAAAAAACTAGAGGGCGGTGACGCAATTCTGTCTTTGGATTCAGAAAGTCGACATACATTGACAAAAGCATGTGTCAAATCATTTAGTCTGACATTGTTTTATTATTATGTGTACCTGGGTTATTATTTTTATTTGAATTCTTCGCATACAGCTTCATAGGATCGACAAGAGATAAGATAGAATCCTCGTGATTGCATCTGACAAACAATAACAGTCACGGATGTCACAAACAGTTCCCCCATATCGTCAATTATTCAATTTATCACATTAACATATGAATGGTACTACATTTGAAAACCCCATTCACGTATTTTACACTGAGGGTGTATTTTCAAAAATACCAAAAAAGAAAATTATCTAAAATAATTTTCTGAAAAACAGGATCGACGTCCACCGCAGAACTTACAACCCTGAAAGACCGTCAAAGAATCCTAATTACTTTCTTACAATTTCGCTCAGAAATTGGAAGAAAACTGCAAACCCTCTGCACATGTTAGTGGTGTCTATGACTTCGTTAGATACCCCGAAACTCAAAAATAATCTGAAAAAATGAATGTTTCGCTTTTTACTGATTAAAATGGTTGATTGTTCTCGTTGTCCTCCTATTCTCATGCTTCACATGCCAATTCTCGTCGTCAGTCGTTAGTTATGTCACAGCTCACATCACACGACAGAAAGGCTTCAAGCTGCCATCCGCCTATAAATATTTGCTATTTACGAGTTGCGTAATAGAACAGCAATTTCTGGACACATAAACTGTAGTGTACAGATAATATACTACTATACTATTGCAGTTTTTACGAAGACAGATTTAACGTTTTTGTTAAAATATTCTATTTATTTGTTGCGGCGTTTTTCAATAATATTTTATTTGTTTTTCTTGAGCAGTGTGCGTGTTACGTTTTGAAAAATCGTTTTGTGTGGTTTTGTTTAGCAGCTTTTCCCCTCTACAGATCCCAAGTAGACACACTAAAAATAGGACATTGGCATCTGAATGTTATGAAACGCAACATTGAGGGGTTCCGAGAGCATGGTTGTGTTGGCACTAGTCAACTGAAAATAAAAGAATTTAGCTTCCAAAGCGTGGATACACAGAAATCAGAAGGTCTAGAAAGCAACTTACCACACACGTAAGCGTTTATGTGACACTACCAGCACGAATTATGATTGAAACAAGACACAAAGTTATACGGATGGTACGTACGGTACGGTACAAAGTAATATGGATAATACAGAAAAGTATTTTGGGCTTTACAATATTCACTTGCTATTGCAATACCATGGTTTGACATCTGTCATCCGCAAATGCAGTTATACAGGCAATCTGCATGACATCCACCTACAAATGATTAGCTAAGGCATATCTCAGAGGTAAGAACAACATTGTACTATTTCCATATCGCAATTCTTTACTAAAAAGCAGCAATATTAGAATTTCGATATTACCTAATGTATACAATCATTATCCATATGGTCACCTTGAATCTCATAAATTAATTTAGTTTATTGTTAATTTATTGATGAAACATGGCGTTCAAGACTGCTTTTATTTAGACATTCTGAATATGTGCATGAATATATCGCAACACTTAATTAGGAATAAAGATATATTTATGTAATACTGGAAATTTCACAATTTCGATTTCCATTACGTGTAAATATTAGATTCGGTAAGATGGTTAGACATTCTCAATTTTAGATATTCTGAAAACATTAATGTCAAAATGTCAAACAATGTTATAGTGTAAGGAGTACCAATTAATGTGTAATTTCTGCAACTACATTTTGTACATGACAAAAAATAACACACTTCATTCCCGAACGCACTGTTTCACTAACGAAAGTAAATATTCTATTGTTAATTATCCACTGTTTCCGCCCCTTTTAATAACACATTTTTTTACTGTTAAATATAATAGCTACATCTCGAATAACGCTGTATGAATTGGTAAAGGAAAAAGAAGAAGGAGAAGTAACGAAAATCGAATATAACGTTTGCAAACACTTGTCAAAACTACTGCTGAATGCGCTAACATGCATTTCCCTTGACTTCCCCCGCGCCCACGCACTTACGAGACAACGTGATAACGGATTCGTATGTGATGACTGACACACAGGGGTGAACGGACGACACACCGACATTACCAAAAAGTTCGTCAAACTACTCTGTTGTTGGATACGATCGAGTTTAAATAGTAAATGAAACGTTTTCTTCCGAATAAAATGAAGACATCGCTAGTCGTAGGATTCTTTTCTAGTTGTTCTAAGAGCGGGCGTCGCATGCTACTCGTGCCCGCTGAATTTGCCCCTGCGAAGGAGAAATGAGGAAGCGAGCGCCAGGAGCAACTGCAAGCCCCCCGCCGCCGCCGCCCGCCGCCCCCGAATGCCGTCCGACGACGGCCCGCGCCGGCGGAGTCGCGTCTTCTCGAACGAGGAGCTCCATTCAACTTTCGTCCCGCGGCCAAAATAGCCCTGAATTATTTCTGCGACGGCCATCTCCGCCGCGCCTGTCCGGCTCCCGCCCGCCCGCCCGCTGCGCCAGCTATTTGTGGCGGCCGTTCGCGGCCCCGCCCCCCGTGCGACCTGCCACGCACGCCGCCACGTGGCCCCGGCCGCTCGCCACTTCCTCGGCCGCCTCCCCGGTCGCATTTGGTCCCCGCCGCCCGCCCGCCGTTCGCTCCGCCACGCTGCGCGCGCGAACCGACAGGAAATCGCCGGCTGCCACAGCTGCGCCGGGCGTCGGGGCTGCTCAGGCGATCGCTCGCAGGTGACGTGGCCACAGCAACGCGCGATGCGGGGATCACGACCTGCAGTCGGGGCGGGACGGGATGCAAGGAAAACAAAATGTGTATGCTCAGCAGTTAAATATCGCACGCAATTGTCTCTCTATTTTCACGGAATGTCGCCAGTTCCATTTTTACTTACTGGTCTTATTTCGTAAGACGCGATAATGTTGTAATCGTGCACCAGAAACCGGTGTTTTTTCGGCAGAAAAACTTAAATCCCGGTCACTAGTGACCAAATAGTGAATTAATCTTCTTTCAATGTGTAGTAAATTACTTCATCTAAGAGACTGTCAGTCATATACTCAGTCATGTACTCAGTCATGTACTCAGTCATGTACTCAGTCATGTACTCAGTCATGTACTCAGTCATACAGTCAGAAACCATGTTTTGTGGGTCCTTGGTACAGAAAAATCAATTGACGCCATAATGCCTGTCTACCCGTCTTACTGGCTCTGCCCCGTCCGACACGAGGGCCTACCGGCCCGACGCCCGTAACGAGTATTTTTGCATTATTTCTGCTTGAAGATAATGGAATTTATAAAAAAGAATTTCCCATGGCCAGTCGCCGGCGCCTAAAACACGAACATTGGGCTAAAGGAAGGAAAATCCTGTCAGGAAACCAAAAGAGCCTCTGTAGATATAGTGAATCCAGCCTCCTTACTGTAAGAGAACTCGGAAAAATAAACCCGGGTCCTCCAGATAAGGAGGTTAAGACGATAGGTCTGGACGACGACATTTGACATGGAAATTTATTTTGAAAATCGAAACATAAAACATTCAAGGCATAAACTGATGACATAATTACGAAAGTCGACAAGCATGGCCTGGATATCGGCGCCTTATCTACAACTAAGAGACGAGGAAAATATATTGAAGAAATAGGGAATTATATGCACTTATATACAGGGGTTCCAAAGCGTGTGGTAGAAGGTAGTGGTGCTACAGCAGCTCATACATTCTCTCATTGTTTCTACATATGGATGTTTTGAAAATTCTGCGAGTTCAACGAAAATGAGATCTGCTTCGATCAAAAATTGAAGAAAAGCGTTGGAGTGGTTTTTTAGAAAATGTTTGTAATTTGCATTAACTTCAAGAAGGAAGGAAGTAACAACATTTTTTTTTCCAAAAAATTGTCGACGACCTTTTAAAGATCTGATTTTTAGTTTCCCGCTACTGCATTAGAGATTAAGTTATATAATGTTGCGCGAAAAGTTATATAATGTTGCGAAGTGTTGGCAGGAAAAAATATTTCGAGGCCCTGGTAAAGAAAAAGTGGATAAATCCAGTTCCAAAATTTAGGGGGGAAAATTCTCTAGCACGTACTGTAGACAGGATCCTTTATTTGCAAGTCCTTAATACCAAAAAATCGAATGATGGCAAAACGTCCGTCCATCCGTTCGTTCGTCCGTCCGTCCGTCCGTTCGTCCGTTCGTCCGTCCATCCGTTCGTCCGTTCGTAAACAATACTAGCGGGTAAATCGTTCTGTCGATTTTCCCCAAAATTGATATTCCTCAATTGATCTAACTGATGTCACGCCTGTTCAATATGAAACCGATATTTTAATTTTCGGATTTACTTTATATAAAGTCCCTGGGACATTTGAAAATTTCCAAAAATGTCTCCTTCGATTTTGATAAAATTTTGTTGATGGATAGTGTGAGGAAGGTGCAGTAAGAGAATGGTGCAGGTTTCACGTTTTAAATTTCTAATTTTTCGAAAATTGCAAAAATTCAAAATTTTTTCGCGATCTAACTACAACTAAAATTACGAAGTTAAAAAGTTTTCACTTAATGATACCTATTTCTCAAAAATAGAATATGAATAAAGTTCATGTACAATTTCCGGAACATTAGTGCACTTATCGCGTAATTTTGCGAGAAATTACTGGCGAGAAAGTATGTGCTGTTTCAGCTCCACTAGCTTACAACAGTTTTAAGACTAAAGTCTATCTTCAAATTTGAATTTTATTGGAATCTTATCATTTTGCAATTTTCGAAAGCACAGTTCTCCGGAAATGTGACTACCGCCATTTTTACCATTCTTTGATACATTAGAAGGAAACATTTTCAAGACAAAATTGAACCTGTTATTAAGGAAATGTTATTGAGGATTGTTCTAAAAATTGCCTATATTTCAAGCATATTACGCGACCACAACACATATTTTCAAAAAGTTGAACATGTTATTTCAAGATTACTTTAGAGAATTTATTTCATTAAAAAAATCATCAGTATTGTAGTTGTAATAAGACGCCGGCCAAAATTGAACTTTTGAAATTTTCAAAAAATTAGGGATTTCAACGAAAATGAGACTTGCACCGTTCACCTAAGCGTCCTTGGCGCTATTTCAGAACAAAGTTTACTCCAAAAATTTGGACACGATTACAATACTTTCTCTTCTTACTTTTTACTTTTAAGTGTCTACCATTTCTTTACTTCTTGAGTATGTGCGAGAAACTAAGAGTAAACATATTAAAGGAAGCTAACAGCAAAATCTCAATGTGACAAAACAGAATACTTGAAACCGAAGAAAGAGACCCACATAACCATTATAAAGGATGTTTACTCCAGGGTAGCGTTTGATGGTAATAAAGATCTTATATAGAACGTTGTTACTAAAAACCCAACAACTAATACTGGAACACAGGATTGAAAGCAAAGAAACACGAGAGATGAATGGAATTGCCCTGCAAGAGTGGGCAAACTATTATAAACTGCTGTTAACCGAAGACAGAGCACAATATGTAATATAATATAATTCATTTAAACCAAATACAGTATAAGGTTTTCTTGTAGTGAGCTACCGATACTCTCACCAGATGAATCTGATTCCTAGGAAGTTTGTTGTCAATTCATGGTAATATATTCCCACTTTTAAATAAGTAATTTTTGACAAAGCTATTGATTCTAAAATAAGTAGGAAAAGTTTCCCCAGAATATTATGCCATATCTCATGTGCGAATATACATTCACAATACACATTCAAAGAGTTGCATGAAGGCTCTCTGACTGACATAATTCTTAATGCATAGCATAATCGAGTTGATTTATAGTTCAAGACATTTACTTTCATGATGGAATTGAAAGAACCCAACAGTTTTGTTACCTTAGCGTCAGACAATTGCTAGTTGAATTGCAAAACGTATTTGAAACCGTTTCCCTAGTTTACTATTATTTGCTCATTACGAAAACAATTTCAAACATCTGAAATCGTACTGCTTGTTGTTTCTTTTCTGCGATGAGTATTCTTATTATCAGCAAAGAGAAATATTCCATTTTAAATGGAAGAGTGCATATCGATTACGAATAGAAGAAAGAGATCGCTTAATAATAGAATCAATCGCCTAATAGAAGGAAGATCGCCTAATACAAGAAAGTCAAAGTCTAAGATCAAACTCTGCGGGATCTCAAGACGAATTTGCAATGAATGAAGATGGGTCATGATCTTTATGTCAGTATGGTATTTTTACTCTTTGCGATCGATGTTCAAGGTACGAAGATATCCAATGTAGGTCAATGCCACGAATTCCACATGAACGTAATTTTGAAAGCAAAATTGTGTGGGCATTGACATCCAATGCTCCATAACTATTATTATGTGTTTCATTTTGATCCATTTATGAAGCTACATCTCTAAAGAAACGGTCTGCTTCCATAATTTCGATTTTCTAAGTTCATGTTGACAATTTGAAATCGCTTCGTCTTTCCTGAGAAAATGTATCTATTCGTATGTAAAAAAGCCTCTCTAATATTTTGAAGTAAAAAAACGAACGAATGTTAAATTGGCCTATAATTTCAAGTTAAATGTTTCTTGCCTTTTTAACATTAGAACGACGGAATCAGTCATTTTGACTTTTTTCAAGTTTTAGTTTTCTTTTGTGCCTATATTTGTAGGTTTATATTTGATATTTTGTGATCTTTATTATTTAATAATGTTCTATAAAATGTGGAAATTTAATTCTTTTAGACATCTTACTATTGGCGATAATACTTAATTCGTTATGGTTTACCCTCAACGACAGGTAGCAGTCATAATTACTACTTGTTTTCAAATGCGATTGGGACACGACAAATGACAAGAGCTCTAGCCAATCTTCATTCAGACGCTGGACTGTGCAAGGACGAGAATTTTATACCATCGATTTAGCTGGAATCAATTCCTGGATTCTATATGAAAAGGTTTTGGGAAACAATCTCCCCCAGCGTATTTACTGAACTTGGCTGAAGGACGTCGCGCACCACTGCTTCAGACTCGAAACGTTCAAAGATGTCTTCACTTGTCACAGAGAACTTCAGTGCAAACAAACATGCAAAGGACGAATTATCTTTGAAATTGCAATTTCGAAAATCCCGCGTTTCTATTGATGAAATGGTCTTTCACGAGATACATCGCAACAGAATGGCAACGTCCGGACACGACAGACTGTGATTCACAGAATACTATTGGTGAATATTGTCGATGTACGCTGTAAGTATGTCTTGATACATGATTGTGTAATAACCTATATGCTTAAAAAACGTTTTGTGCCACATATAATATTCAAATGATAAAACGCAAAAAAATTGTAACCTTATATTTATGCATTCATACTGCTTTCGAAGGCCTTCTGCTTGGGTGTTTAATTGATAGACGTCTTTTACATTAATAAGGTCCTTGATTATGGTATAATAATGGTATAATATGGTATAATTCAAGGACTGGGAGCGCTT